TACTGAAGAAATAACTTCTTAAAAATTAGAATTAGCCAAACAGAAACTAGTGACTATATGAGATATCAAGAAATAATAAAACAAGTCAAAACACTGAAAACTAGAAGACAATGTGAAATGTTTGTGAAAATACCTGATCTGGGAAACTAGATGGAAGAAAGATAATTTAAGTATCATTGGACTACTTGAGATCCATGAACAACAAAAAAAAAAAGTGTGTAGGCATCATATGTCTAAAATTATAAAGGAGATTCTTAGAAGAAGAGCACAAAATAGAAATTGGAAGAATCCATTGGTTACCCCCTAAAAGAAACATCAAGATGAAAACCCCCCAGGAATATTATAGCCAAAATCCAGAACTCCCAGGTAAAGGAGAAAATGCTACAAGTAATAAGAAAGAATTCAAGTACTGTGGAACCGCAATGAGGATCACACAAGATTTAGCAGCCACTATGATAAAGGAATGGAAGACTTAGCATATGATATTTGGGAAGGCAAAAAGTCTAGAACAGGTGTGGGGAACCTGTGGCCTGGAGGCCACATGTGGCCCCTTAATAAAGGATTTGTTCTGTGAAGTTTGGATTCAGTTAAAAGGCCATACTTGAGGACCTAGAGGATCACAGGTGGCCTCGAGGTCACAGGTTCCCTGCCCCTGGTCTAGGATCACAGCCAAGAATAACCTATCCAGAAAAACTGAGTATATCCTATAGGGGAAAAGTAGATATTTAATGAAACGGAAAACTGAAAAGATGAATCCTTGCATTAGTATTGTTGTATCAAAATGCTAGAGCTGAATAGAAAATTTCACATTCAAACACAGGAAACAGTAGAACAGGTGAGGTATGCAATATACAGAAGCAAATGAACACAGTAAACTAGTGTTTGACAAACCCATAGATCTCCGATATTGAGCCAAGAATTCACTATTTAACAAAAACCGTTGGGAAAATCGGACAGTAGTCTGGCAGAAACTAGGCATTGACCAACATCTCATACCATACACTAAGATAAGCTGATAATGGGTACATGATTCAGCTACAAATGGTGATATCATAAGCAAATTAGTGAAGTATGGAAGAAGTTACCTGACAGACATATGGATAAGGGAAGAGTCCATGACCAAACCAGAGACAGAGAAGCCTACTGGAGGTAAAAGAGTTAATGTTGATAATATGAAATTAAAACAATTTTCCGAAACAAAACAAATATGGCTAAAATTAGAAGAAAAGCAGGAAATGGGGGAAATCTTTGCGGCAAGTTTTTCTGATAACAATATCATTTCTTAAATATATAGGGAACTGAGTCAATTTACAAGAATAAGAGTCATCCTCTAATTGATAAATAGTTAAAGGACTTGAAAAATTTTCAGAAGAAGAAATCAAAGCTATTAATAGCCACATGAAAAATGCTCTAAATAACTAATAGTTAGAGAAATGCAAATTAAAGCAACTCTGAGGTCCTACCTCACAACTATCAGATTGGCTAAGATGACAAAAAATGAAAATGACAGATCCTGGAGGGGTTGTGGAAAACAGATACACTAATGGATTGTTGGCAGAGTAGTGAAGTAGCCCAGCTGTTCTGGAAAGCAATCTGGAACTATGCCCAAAAGACTATTTAACTGTGCATACCTTTGACCCAACAACTAACAATTATATAGTGCCTACTATGTGCCAGGCTTTACAAAGGGCTTTACGATTATTATCTCATTTGATCCTCACGATGACCCTTGGAGGCAGGTGCTATTATTATCCCCATTTTACAGATGAGCAATCTGAAGCAAAAAAAAGATTAAGTGACTTGCCCAGGCTCACACAGCTAGGAAGTGTTTGAGGCTATATTTGAACACAGATCTTCCTGACTCCAAGCCCAATTTTCTATCCACTGCATCACCTAGCTACTAGAGCTGTGCCCCAAAGAGATCAAAGAAAGAGGAAAAGAACCCATATGTAAAAAAACATATTGATAGCAGCTCTTTTTTGTGGTGACAAAGAATTGGAAACTGAAGGGATGTTCATTAAGTATGGAATGACTGAACATGTTACATTATGGGAATGGGATGGAATATTATTGTGCTTTAAAAAATGATGGGATGATTTCAGAAAAACCTGGGAAGTCTTGTACGGACTGATATGAAGTGAAGTGAATAGAACTAAAGCTATGTCAACTAAGACTTAGGAAATCTGATCAACACAATGACTCACCATGACTCCAAAAGATTTGTGATGAAACATGCTATCTAGCTCCAGATCGAGAGTTGGGAGACTCAGAGGAAAGACTGAAAAGTATTTTTTCTATTTCTTTGTTTTTCTTGCCTTTTGGGGGGAGAGTTGAGGGACACGTAGCTAAGGAGGAATTTGTCTTGTGCTACTATCCATGTTTACAAATGCTGTTTTTCTTGCCTTCTCATTGTGTTGGGAAGGGAGAGAAATTGGGACTGGGAAAAAATTTAAAAACTCTCTGTACTTTAAAAAATAAGTGTCCTGCACTGAAATGTTTTTACATCATTCTTGTCAAAGACCTACCCAATTTCTAACTCACCCCAGCTCCTGCTCTCTGAATCAGCCCAGGAAGGACTCCTTCCTGAAAGGGACCATTAGAGCAATGATTTGACCAAGAAGGAAGAAGTCGTGAGTTACTTCAGTTAATAGTGGTTTCTTCGGAGTTTACCTTTGTCCACTGGAAAGGAGAGATTCAATGGTTTAAGGAAAATGGTTCTCTAAAGTGCACCCAAAAGTTAAGTGATCATCATTCTGTTTGAGGGAAAAAATATTAATTGAACTTTACCTGAGCTTTGTAATCATGTTATAATTCATTGTGGTCTGGTGAGTCTTTAAATTATGACTCCAAAATAGCTTGTGTGACTTTGACAAGAAGTTTTCAGAGATATTGGAGAGCTCTGCCCAACTTTGGAACTCTTTCTCTGTATTTCTGCGTCTCTGTCTGGGTCTATATCTGTCTGTCTCTGTCTTTGTCTGTCTTTCTCCAAATGTAACGTTTCCTCTGAGGCAACTGTCCCTACTTCCACTTGCTTTGATGAGTTGGATGTCCCGAGTGTGGCTACTAGACCCATCTAGGGTTGGCCCTGAGGATTTAAAGGTTGTCTTTCTAATGCCATATAGCTCACAAACCTCATGAATGTGTGTCCCACTATGATTATGGTTTGGTTATCAGTATGTCTGTCAGTCCTAATCAGCTTTTAGAAATGGATATTTGTTAAGATGGTACAGTAAGAAGGGTTGTTGAAAAACACATTTCACCACCACTACTTCCCCCACCCCCCGCACACACACACAGAGTTTCTGTGACACACTATCCCACCAGAACATCCAGAATCCAGGGTAAAATGGAATTGACTCAGAGTGAACATGTGGCAGAAAGGTAACTCAGCTCCTGGTTGCTGGGAGGCCTTGTCTTTGCTTTGTGGGATGCTCCAGGGATTCCTCTTTAGGCTTGGAGTAGATGTTCTGCTGGGGTCCTTGTGAAGTCATGAATCCGTGTCCGGTCTGTCTTAGGCTCCCGCTGCAGACACTACTGCTAGCTGCTTGCTGATGCTTATGGGAAGTCCTCCGAGCTTTACCGTGTCTTCTTCTGGCCAAGGCAAGGTGAAAGGAGGGCACGGCCAAAGCTCAGGTGCTCTTCCTCCACCATCCGCACAAGGGATTCTCTCTGTCTTCTCCACCACCAGGCACTTGTTTGACTCTGTATTTTTCATGGTCTTGAACTGGCTTCCCATTTTATTAGATGATCCCTAGAACCTGACTAAATTTTCTTAGCTAATCTGACACCCTCTTTCTATGCAAAGTAACTTCTGACTCATCCAATCTTCATCAAAGAGATATAAATTGAACAAGGACTTTTCATACTTAGCTGGAAATGCTTTTAATTGAGGTAATTGGAATGAGACAAGGTCCCAACTGATGAAGGTACCAGAGAGTAGTATTTTATTGCTTCCTTTACTTGAGGTGGGGATAATTTGATTGATCTATTCAACAAATCCTATCATTACCCAGAAATATTTAGAATTATTTTTACATAGACTAATAAAAGCTGTATCTGGCAGGCTTGTGCCTACAAGAGGATATGCATATCATCAGGGCCCTGACTCATTTATCCATAGACACAGTATCATGTACAATATTTAGGTGTATTTAAAGTTATCCTGGACACCTTGTTTCCTTGGGGAAATGTCTACCAAATTATATGCTCCCCAATAAACTTAGAGACTACTTCTTCCTGCTATGTTGCCATCATCTGTATCCACACGGTCTTCTTTGTGCAGGTTTTAATGTTTGAGACTCCAGTACTTAAGACTCCCTGTGTGTGTATCTGCCCACCACCCTTTGGGTCATCTGCAATTTTGAGTCTTCAAGAGATCATGGTGTTCCATGACCTTCAGCTATAGACCATCACTGGGAGAATACAAATGTAACAAGGGTGGTCTTTGGCGACAGAGAACAGCTTGGGATCAGTGAGAACCTTGCACAGTTCCCCAAAATGTACCTTGACCTGTTTAGCTGCCTCTTCAGTGCTCAGCCCTGATCACTGTCCAACTTCAATGTCTGTCCAAAAGTGGATTGATCCAATGAGCAACTGAAAGCTCTGCTTCAAAAATTATTCTCAAAAACAGAGAAAGAAGACACTCAACCAATCTTATCAGAAAAAAAAATGTGATCATTGTGTCCAAACCAGGGAGGGACAGAGAAAAAAAAAGCAACAACAAAAAACCATAAACCAATTTCACTAGTGAATACTAATACAAAGCAAAACAAAACAAAAAACAACTTACCAAAGAAAACACAGCAACGTGTTTTCAAAAGAATTCACTATGAGCAACTTGGACTTGTAGCAGGGATGCAATATTCAACCCAATATTCAGAAGGCAATTAAAATAATCACATAAACATCAAAATCAATTAAACTTACATAATTATATGACTAGATGCAGAAAAAAGCCTTGGACAAAATACAAGACTCATTGGTGTTTAAAACTCTAGGCATAGAAGGGCCTTTATTTAATGTAAGAAAAAGTATCTAAAGCCAAGAGCTCGTATCATTTGCACAGGAAACACTGAAAGTCTTCCCAGGACAAATGAAGATAAAGAAAGGATTAGTTCTAGACTAAAGACTAGTTCTAAAAATGATCGTTATAGCAATAAGACAAGAGAGATACATTAAAGGTATAAAGATTAGGAAAGAGGAAATAAAATGATCTGTACATGCAGGCAACTTGACAGTTTACCAAGAAAACCTAGAGAACTAGTGAAGAAGCTAATTAAGGTTATTAATAGATTCAAGTAAGCAGGAGGATACAAAATAAGCACCCGCAAAACCCCAATATTTGATACAGTACTAACAAAAAAGGAGGAAATGATTGTAAAAGAAGTTTCATCAAACATAAATCTAAACTACATAAAATATCTGGGTGTTAACTTATCCAGAAATACTAAAATTGTATATAAGTCCAAATGCACAACCCGCTTTAGAGAAATCAAGATGAATAATTGCTTGTAGCTGGGCCATGCCAGTATAAAAAATGAGGCTATTGCCTAATAATACAGATTGAGTGCCATGTCAATCAGGATACCAAGAGGACACTTTATCAAGTTAGACAAAACGGTAACAAAATTCACAAGTGGTAGCAAGAATAGTGGAGTGAGGATCTGGCTGCTTCCAGCCCTGGCTCTTCATATGATCTAGAAGGATGATCTCAGGCAAGCTCTTAACCATCGGGACCCCAGCTGGAACCCACCCCAAAGGGCTGGATCTGGTGTTAGAGGCCCCTAGGTTCAAATCTTGCTTCTGACACTATTAAGTATGTTCCCTTGGGCAAGTCCCAAGCCTCAGTTTCCTTCTCTGTAAAATGAAGAGAACCTCTGAGGTCTGCTCTAGCTCTATGATTCAAGGATTGAATAGTCTGGAAGGTTCCATCTGCCATTAGCCGTCAAGTATTCCAAGATTTATACTTAGAGGATTTAAAGGTCAGAAGAACCTGAGAGATCATCAAGCCCAACTTCGTCATTTTACAGAAGAAGAAACTGAGGTCCACACAGGTTAGGTGACTTACTCAAGGCAGGACTAGAACCCAGGTCTCTGACTCCAAATCCAATGATCTTTCTTCCTCACCATGATGTCTTCTCAAGGCCTTCAGGGACAGAGGTCTTGGTTCTCTTGAATTCTTAAGGTGCTATTAAAGCTAAAGACTTGCCTATTCTTTTCAGAAAAGGGCTGTATTAATCTAAATACACCTGATGGGCCTAACAACTCCCAGCGCTAGAAGTCTGTTAGCTGTGTTACATGTGACACACTTGAATTATGGGGTCACCATTTGGTTACTGGAAAAGCAAACTTTAGGGCATAGATCAAGTGGTTTTCTTTGAGAGCCAGTAAGATGCTCAGAGCAGCAGCAACACCCAAGCAGGAAGCCTCCTTCTCTCTCAGGTGAGCCTGAGGGAAAGCCTAGTGAGGAAGTCAAGGGCTCAAACACCTCAAACACACTGAGCTGGGTAACCTCCCAGAGAGTCAGTATTCAGAGAGATCCTGGCTGAGAGGTTAGTGACTATAGGCTTCACAGGTTGGGGGAACCGAGGCAAGAAACTGAAAAAATAACCCAGATAGCTTTCTAGAAAACAAATCCTCAGACCCTTCCGTCAATTCCTACAAGAGATGTTTTAGGCCCATTCTCCCCCTTTTACAGGTGAAAAGACTAAGGTCCAGAAGGCAGGAAATTGCCTCCTTATGGTCTTATAGCCAGTTAGTGAGAGATTCAGGACTTGAAACCATGTCTTCTGGCTTTGACTGCAGAGTTCTTTTCCAGATCAAGTCCTGCCTTCTCCATCTTCTCATCATCTAGAGCCCTTCTTGTCTGGTCAGCAACTTTGGCCTTCCTTTGTTTTGTCTCCCCAGTTAGATTTCACGCTTCTTCACAACAACCCTGCAAAGTATAGATGCTATGATTATTCCCATTTTATAGATGAGGAAACTAAGGCAGAAACTTGTCCAGGGTCACACAGCTAGTGAGTGTCTGAGGCCACATTTGAATTCGAGTCTTCCTGATTTCTAGCCCAGCGCTCTATTCACTGCCACAATCCTCAAGAGTTTCATAAACACCTCTTTCTTCTTGTTCTACATGGAAATGCATCTTTTATCTTGTGTTTGTTAAGTTCAGAGGTTTGTTTGTTTTTTTAAGAAATTGACCATGTCTTACTAGATAGGAAACAGGGGCAGCGAGGTGGCGCAGTGCATAGAGCACTGGCCCTGGATTCAGGAGAACCTGAGTTCAAATCCAGCCTCAGACCAAACACTTGACCCTTAGTAGCTGTGTGACCCTGGCCAAGTCACTTAACCCCAATTGCCTAAAAAATAAAAAAAGAAAAAAGAAAGATATCTAGATAGGAAACAGATGGTTACTGATGTGGAAGGTATTTCAGAATCTGTTATCATGAGAGTAATTGTAGGATCCTGGGTCTCTGGGGCATGGTGAAATGGAAATGCTAGATTTGATATCAGAAGACTTTGGTTCTAACCTCTGCCATGTATTAGCCGTGTGACTTTGGGCAAAGCATCTAGGGAGTGTTCATAGATTTGGCCAGATGGAGCCATGAACTGGATCACTGTTGCTATAGTAACCTATTCTCAGTATTGATAGTGATGGAACCATCAGACCTGGCCGCTGCGGTCATAAACCTTAGAATGCAATTATAATGAGATATCTGTAAGGATTTGTATAAGGTAGAAAAGTACCTTCCCTCTGAGAGGATTATTCCTTTATGCTGTATATACATATGCTGTATGTACTGTTAGTGACCTCCAAATTTGAATGTGAGCTGCTCAAGGGCAGGGTTCATGATTTTGCCTCTGTTTGTATCTTCAGCATTTAGCATAGTGCCTGGCATACAGTAAGTGCATACTAAGTGCTCATTGATGGACTACTTGAAAAGCTTCTCTGCTGAACTGTTGCAGGAGGAGAAGGGTAGACTTCTCCCTCCCTCCTCCCTGGCTCCCATCTTTGGAATGTGGGCATTGTCCTGCTTTTTTTGGGGGGTGGCTTTTTTTCAATCACACTCTCTTCCCACTGAGCTTGGCAATCTCTAATCACTACCCTCAATTCAACCCTTTGCAGGGGTTTCTCTTTGCAAGGTGTGGATTACGACAATGGGCACAACAATAGAACTCTACGGGGCGGCTTTCTCAGTCTCTCCTTCCAGACAGCAGCTATTATTGGCTCACCTGTCCCTGAAGAACTGCTCTGGACTCACCTTTTTTTCCCACTTGGGAAAATCTATAACAATGTAAAAGTGGGTAAAATGCTGTCTTACTGAGCTCTAGAACCCCTGCCCCAAGGCCAATAGATAAGGTCCATTTTCTCTGTCCCTTTCTCTCCCTACATACCCGGCCATAATTTTTCTGGCTTCCTGTTGACTTTAGTGAAACATACAATGCAGAAGTTGTTGTGATTGGTCCAAATTTTATCTGAAACTGGCATTGCATAGGCACTAATCCGAAATGTAAACCAACTATAAAGAACAAATGAGCTTCGGACTTCAATCTTACAGAACAGAGAGAGGGAGGGAAAGAGGAGCATGGAAAATCACTGTGTCAAGTCTCTCAAACAGGCAGCTCAGCCAGGATCAATCAGTCCGCTTCTCGGGGTGGAGGTGGACAGAAAGATACCCAGAAATGACTGACGTATAAAAACCAAAGCCATCTTCAAAACCTATTTTTAAGTAAAGAAAAAAGTCCTATCTGCACAAAAATATTCCTGGTAGAACTAGTTGTAACGGCAAAAAACTGGATATGTACTGAGAAGGTACAGCAAGAACCAAGTTACAAAGACACCCAGGTGCACCCTGACCCTGTGTGCCCACTCAGTCCCTCAGGAGAATAGTCAAACTTAGAACACAAAGGTAGTGAGGCTCACATGCAATATATTCCTGGCCCTGAGAATCTGCATATTAATCAATCCCTAAACCTTTATTAAGCACCTACTATGCGCTGAGCGCCTTCTAGTCCCAACTGAGGTCATGTCAGGGCATTTGCACAGCTGATGGACGAGTCTCTGCCTTGCTAGGTGCAGCTTCTCAATTGATGGGTCAAACCACTGTTAGACTGGATCAGACAGGTCACTCCGGATGCTGCAGCTGCTCCCCAGACTCTGCTGTTCCTGCTCCAGTTCTCCCCCTCCCTCTCCAGGCTTCTTCCCCCTCCCCCCTCCCCCATATGCTACAGTCCAGCGACTCAGCAGACATGCCATTTTCCAATTCTGGGCATTTTCTCTGTCTGCCCTCCATTCCTGGAATCCCCTCCCTCCTCATCTCTACCTCCTGGTTTCCTTCAAGTCCTAGTTAAAATGTCACCTTCTCCAGGAAGCCTGTCTCCACCCTGCTTAATTCTGTTGCCCTTCCTCTGTTGATTAGCACCAATTTACCCCATACGTGTTTTGTTTGTATTGAGATAATATTGGTAAGGTCTCAGGGGTGTCCAAGGCTCCTCATCACAGGCACTTACATGCCCCTAGTCTTCCTTCATCCTTTGTGTCATCTCCAGGGCTAGCATGGTTTAGCAGAACGCTGGCCTCCTAGGCACAAAGACTCAGGTTCAAATCCCACCTCCACACTTACAAGCTGTGTGACCCAGGGCCTCCCCCACAAAACAAGAGCTTTTCATCGACTGGCTGATCTCAGCTTCCTTCCAGCTCTGTCTAGACATTGCAGAGAGATTCTGTTTGGGGGAAGGGCTGGACCAGATGGCTTCTGCGGTCTCTGCCCACTCAGATTCTGGGACTGGCTTAGAATCCTATTTCTAGATAAAGAAGAGACCTCGGAGCCCACCTAGTACAACACCCTCATTTTACAGGAAAGGGCTCCAAGAGGGGAAAGTGGGCTGTGAAGGCCAGCCCCTACCCAGGCGCCGCTTCCCTCCCCACGGAGAACACTCGAGCCATTCTCCCTTAATCAATCACTCTAACTAGCTGGTTCCTCCTTAAGAGAGAGAAGAAAGGGGAGCCTGGTTTCTAACCGACTTCTTTGACTCCGCCTCCTAGTCATTTCATTTTCCTTAGAAGGCTCTTTCTCTCCCTGACACTGTCTGTCTATCTGTCTGTCTGTCTGCCTGTCTTTCTGACTTTCTCCCTCAAAGAAAGTCTGTGTACAAGCCAGAAGGACGTGGGATGGTTAAGAGACGCTAAGAGAGAGACACTGAGTCCCACAGGAGCCCAGGGAAACCCAGTCACCTAGCAAACTTCCCGCTGAACCTCCGCGGAGGGGGCAGAGAACTCTGAATCGACAGAGAAGACGTGTGTATGTGTTTGTGAGTGTGTGAACGGAAGGAGATGAGGAGGAGCCCCTGAAACCAAGGTTTATCTTTCATCTTTGCACAGGGGAAAAAAATGCAACTTGAGAGGTGAGCCGTGGGGTTGCTTTGTTAGAGGGTGGGGAAACGGGGTGGTCAGAACTTGTGCTGTGAAAACGTGAAAGCTCCTCCCCCGTGTGAGTGAGGGGTCCTGGGGACTCACCTGGTCCTTAGTCCCGGGACCAGGGCTGCACCTGCGTCCTGGTAACCCCAGAAACCAGACAAGAGAGCAAACACTCGGAGTCGGGCAGCTGGGCAGTCTGCTGTCTCCAGCGGAAGCCCAGGCACCGAGCGACTTCAGCCCCAAGTCATCGCATGGGTTACCCATCCATCCATGAAGACCTCGAGCCAGAACGCCAGCTCTCCGTCGACCTGGGCAGCTGCAGACTGGCCTTGGGAGCCGAGGCAATGCGCTGATTTCTTGATTTCTGTTCTTTGAACTCAGTGGATGGGCTGGGCGCTAGGCTCTGTCTGGAGTCAAGGGGGATCTGTCTTCATTCCCAAAGCTCTCCTTTTTGAAGGGGTTCACCTCTCTGCCCCCAGACATCTCCTCAGGGACTTCTCACTTCCCCTGTCGAGCTTGGACTCCCCTTTGGTGCTTCTAGGTTAGTCGGTCCTGGCACTTACCAAGGGAGCCCAGAGCGAGGGAGCCGGGGATGAATCATAGAGGGTGGGGTGAGAGGGGGCCGTCCTCGGCTCGTCCTGTGCACTAACCTGGCAGAAAACAGCCTCAGTCTCCACCTTTCCAGGCAGGATGCCTCTTTCCCGCCTCCCCCCAGGCGCGCAGCTAGCCTCCTGGCGTCAGGCAGCTTTCTCTTCCTAACAGATGGAGGTTCTGCGGCGCTCCTCGGTGTTTGCTGCGGAGGTGATGGAAGTGTTTGACCGCTCCCCGACCGATAAAGAGCTGGTGTCCCAGGCCAAAGCCCTGTGCCGGGAATACATCCACTCCCGGCTCATCCGGGCCGGGCTGGTTTGGAGCAAGCCCGAGTACAAGGCGCCGACGCCCGGTGGGAAGCTGGCCGAGATTTCCAGCATCCTCCTCCGGCTGGGTGAGTGGGGCAGCAGCTGGGGCAGGCTGCAGCGTCTGCCTGATGCTGATATGACTCAATTGTAACCTGAGAAATGGGCCCATTTCCCTTACCTTCAAACAGCTCTGACTAACGGCCACCCCAGTGGGCTTGGAGTCTGGGGCATGGGTTCAAGTCTGATATCTGCTACTTCACAGCAGAGGCAGGTCACTTAAAACATTTGTTTCTCTCCTTTCCCTCCCCCCCCCATCTCCTCTTCTGTAAAATAGGGATAAGACATCTCCCAGGTAACCAGGAATATACTTTGTAGATCAAAAGGTGCTGCTTACATGTGAACAATGTGGAAAGGATGCTAAATTTAGAGTCAGAGGGCCTGGGTTCAAATCCTGACTCTGCTACTAATGAGGTTCAGAGAGGAAAGGAACCATAAAGACCATTTTTTTCAGGGAAGAAACTGAGGGCCAGAGAAGGGAAGTGACATGTCCATGGTTAGGATGAGAAGGTCGGTGAGCTTGGTGGTGGTGGTGGGGACGTCCTGGATGAGGAGGGCTCCTTAGGAGATCTCCAGTTCCCCTGGGACAGTCCCATCCCAATCTCTGATGGGGCCGGCCTGAGGAGACAGGGGAGGACCTGGGCCGCAGAAGTGCAGGGACTGGCTCCATTACCAGGCTTTGACCCTGCCAGCAGAGCTGCTTCTGAACAGAACTGGCAAGGCTTCTGGGAGGGCATTCAGGGACCACATTGATCATTCATTAGCACAGTGCCTGGCACATAGTAGGTTCTTAATATATATTGCTTGACCAACAAGCATTTATTAAGCACTTACTATGTGCCAAACACTGTGCTAGGCCTACAGATACAAAGAATCTGTACTTGGCCTTCAGGGAGTTTAGGTTCTAATAAAGTAAACATATATTAACAAAGAACCTACTATGTGCTGGCCTCAGAATCTGGAAGAACTGGGTTCAAATCCTGCCTCTAAAGCAAACTGGCTGTGTGAACTTGATGGAGGCTCTCAGCCTTCCTGTGGAATCCCAGAGAAGGGGCCAACCTGAATTGGCGGAGGTAATTTCCTCACGTGGAAGTTTTCTGTCCCCATGAGTGTTCCTGGCACAATCCTGGGGCCCAGAATACAAAGAAAGAGAATGAAATTATCCCTCCCCTCAAGCAGCTTACACTCTGTTACCTCCGGAGCCTGGTAACGTACAGGACTGGCCTACTCCTCTCTGGTTTCTAGCAGCATCTCTGAAGGGGTAGAGCTGAGCCTGGGCTTTGGGGAGCTCTCAGCCTTGTCCACGAGGCTCCAGGCCTTCCTCAGGATTCTTCCGAGGGCTCCCTGCCTCCCGACTCAGGCCTTTCCCCTTCTCCCAGCTGTTAAGCTTGCCCCAAGGATGCTTCATTCCTGCCTGTCTGCTCAGCTCCCCTGGCTCAGAACCCCCTGGAGCATAGCCCCTCCTGACCAGCCCCCTGCTTCTTCCCCTCCTGCCCTTGGATTTGGGTGCCCAAGCCTGGCATCTGCTGCTGCTCCACCCTGGTGCCCAGGCCTGCCATACACCCTAAGCCACAGTTGGGGGTGAGGGGAGGGGACAGACTAGAGGGGCAGAATTAGAAATAAAAATCAAGAAATACCCACTTTCAAAAGAGGACTCTTTGCATAAAAGACACTTTACTTTGCAAAGCCCTTTATAATGTTCTCTCTTCATATTAGCTCTGTTTGGCACTCTGAGGTTCAGGGGCTTGCCTGGAATCGCACCACTAGAAAGTGGCTGAGGCTGGATTTGAATTCAAGTCTTCCTGATAGCTCTAGGCCTAGCACTCTGGGCACTGTGGCACTGCTCAGCTGCCTCTGACTTTTCCTGGGCCATAAGCCTCATTAATCAATGTGCCTACCTTGTGCCACTCACTTTTTAGGCCTGGACAGAACCAGGGGGATCTTGATGAATAATTGCTTTTTTTCCTGAATCTCCTGAAAAGAAGGTTCCCAGCACTCCCTAGATGCTGTATCTGGTGATTCTCAGGCATTTAAAAAAGGAAAGATTTGGGTTTTTTCCCCTGTGTCTAATGCAAGGCTCCCTCCCTGCCCCCCCCTCGCCCGTTTCCTCTTGCCCAGGCCTTGTTGGGAGGGAAGCCAGCCCCTTGTACCATCACTCACTGGAGTGTCATCACCTCTCCCTCCCCAAGTGAAATGATCCCATTTCCTTTCACTTTTTCTCCCAGGGTCTATTTCTAGTCTCAGTAATTGTTCTAGTTTCTCTCCTTTGGATTCCCTCCAAATTCTCCACACTTCCCATGAAAGCCCAGGACTAGTGACCCCCTCAGGCCTTGGCCTGCAGAGGACCTCCGTGGTTTGCCTAATGCAGGAGACTTGTACTCGGTCAGTACCTATGGAATGAGTTCAGAGTAGCCTAGGTTCAAATCCTTCCTCAGTTTCCTCATCTGTAGAATGGGGTGGCAATGCTTAGATTTCTTATCTCACCAATTATTGTGAGGCTTCACTGATAATAAAGCATTTGGTGAACTTAAAAGTGCTCTATTAATGATGGTTTGATGAAGGAATGTGCTGTCAATTGTTATCAACCCACTCTTGGAAAAAACTGGACACATATTATCTCGTCTTATTACCCCCATTAATTGAGTTGCCTAACATACAGCTACCCCATTCAGACTTTTAAATTTAATCTGCATTTATTAACATTTTGTCTGTCACTTTCTTGAGTCGAGACGACCAACGAGACAATGAAGGGAGCCCCGATTTCATGCAGTTGGCAAATTTCTGAGGCTCACGTTGAAAATGTATTAGTTGGATCTCAGGAGCTGACTCCAGCACCCCCCTGGATGTGTTACATGTAATGCTTCCTGACTTATTATGGCTCCCTTGAGAATCCAGGCTTCCTCTGCAAATGGTCATTTGGCTAGGGTATTTCCAAAGATGGGGTTGCCCAAATACATTCCATTGCTGGGCATGGCTAATTGTTACAACTTCTCCAGGCTTTCCCCAGCCTGCCCTTCCCCTTTCCCCACTCCCACCTTCTTCTCCTGGAGCTGGTTTTTTTTTTTTTAAATCTAGGTGCAGAGAGGAACATTTGTAGCTATTAAATTTCATCTTGTCAGTTTGGCTGGTCATTTCAGATGACATAGTCCTTTTAGATCTGGACTCTGTCTTCAGAGGTGCTGGCTAGCTGTCCCAGGGTTTTGGCATTTGCAGACTTGTTAATAACAGTGGTATTTAAAAAACTTTATTAGAAGGGCCAGGCTCAGTCAGGAAGACTTTTGTTTAAGGGCATGTCCTGCCAGAGTGACCCTGGGCATATCACTTGATAGCCCAACATCCAGAAGACTCTTGAAGAATTTCGGTTACAGATACGTTGTCAAAATGCACTAGTAAACTGAGTTTCCTCCCGTAGGTGCTCTAGACACCAAGAAAACCACGGGCCTAGACCCCAAAATATTTCATTACAAACCTAATATGCATCAACAAAATATAAAAAATATTTAAAATTAATTAATAATAATTAATTAATTAATAATAAAATAAGGACATAAGTTGGAGGCAAGATGGTGGCACAGATGGAATATTGAATATGGAGCCAGAGAGACCCAGGTTCAAATCCCACTTCGGCCACTTTCTAGCTTTCCCCAAAGGGAGCCTAAGTAATTGCAGAGGGCAAAGAGATCTCATGTATTTGAAATAACAGGTTGGAGGAGTTTTGAAGCTCTGTTAAGGTCTGATGTCATCCACAGTTTCCCTGTCCCTCTTCATAGATTCCCAGTCAGACAGAAGGGAACTGGGAATATGCCGACCCTGCTGGAATGAGAAACAAAAAGAGATCCTAGTTCATGGACTGTCCACGTAAGGGACCTTAGTTAGGAATGCATCTGAGCTAGGAGTTCTTGACCTGGAGTCCACAGACCCCCAAGGGCTCTGTCAACAGATGAAGGCATCAGAAGATCTATGAACTCCAGTGGGGAAAAAAGTGGCATCTTTATTTTCACTGATCTTCATTTTCCTTTTATTTTATGCATTCCACATCATGATGCTAAGAAAGGCTCCATCCATAGGCTTCCACAGACCCCCAAAGGCATCTGTGATCCCCCCAAAAGGTTAAGAACTCCTGATTTCTAGACAAAGACTCAGAATCTCTGAGTCAGGAGGGATCTTCTAGTCCTACCTATATCTGACCAAGAATCCCCTGGCAAACATTCCCCCATGCATAGTCATCCAGTCTTTACTTGAAGACCTGCAGAGACAGGAACCCACCACCTCCCCCAAGGCAGTCCATTCCTTCTTGGGGTGCTCTCTTCCAAGACTTTCATTTTACAGATGGGAAAATTGAGGCCCAGAAGAGGGCAAATAATTTGCCAAAAGCCACAAAACTACATAGAACTCTGGCCTCAAACCCTGATCTCCTGGCTCTGGATTGGGGTTCTTGTCATGGGACCACATAGCCTTTGAGACCCTGCTGGGATTTGCTGGTCATGTTAGCACAGGCTAGGGATGTGTGTGTGTGTGTATGTGTGTGTGTGTGTGTGTGTGTGTGTGTGTGTGTGTGTGTGCGTGTGTGTGCCCATGCAGGCTCTGTGGGCCTCCCCTTTAGGTCAGAGCTGATAGGTCACTAGACCTGGGGCAGAGAGGCTAGGAGGAAACCTTCTCATGGCTGGATAAGAGGGTGAGAGGGAGCCTTCCATGTGCCTCAGAGGGGAGCTCAGGCTAGAAAACAAAGCGAAAGCTCGTGCCCCCAGGATGGCATGGCAGAGTGCCTCCTCTCCTCCTGAGGGCTCCAAGGTGTGAGGAGAGGAGAATCTGTTCCATTCTGCATCCTCGAGGCAGTGTAGAGAAGTAGGAAGGATGCTGGGCTGTGGGGACCTGAGAACCGGAGTTCCAGGCCTGCCTCTTCTATTGGCCCCTTGTGTGACCCTGAGCAAACACTGAGTCTCTCAGGCCCTCAGTTTCTTTTTTTGTAAAATGGGGACAATACTAGCATGTACCTCTCAGGGCTCTTGTGATAGGTATACAGTGCTATAGGAATGCTAGAAATGCATTGAGGCTCCATTTTACAAAGAAGAAAACAGATCACAGAGAGCCTGGGAATGAACCCAGATCCTCTGCCTCCAAACCCAGCATCCTTGCTTCACCCTGTGGGCCTCAGTTTCCCCATCTGTTAAGCTGTGTTAACTCTTGGTCACTTGGGCTCTTTCCTTGTGAGTCCTAGGCTGAGGTGGGTGAGAGATACTGTGAGGTCCATCTCCTCATTCCCTTCGGTCTCATTGTAGGGGATGAGTTGGAATATATCCGGCCCAACGTCTACCGGAACATCGCTCGACAGCTTAACATCTCCGTGCAGTCAGAGACCGTGGTGACCGATGCTTTCCTGGCCGTGGCCACTCAGATCTTCGCAGCAGGTAGATGGGGGACGGAGCGGGGATGGACTGAACTTCCTCCCGCTGGGATCGGCACGGGGTGGGGCTCGGGCTGTGGAAGGCTGGCAGGGTGCTCGGCACTAATGATTTTCACGTGGCCGAGCGCATTCCTTGAGGGTTACATATCTTAGGTGGGGTAATGACCTGTCATCCCAGGGAGGAGGCCGTCCTCATCAATCACTGGTCACCTCTGCTGCTCTTGCAGACAAGCCCCAAGCAGTCTCATCAGGACTGGGAGCCTCTCATAAGCAGATGAATGAATGCATGGATGAATGAATGAGCGAACGTAGGAAGTAAATGACCGAACAAACATTTATCAAGTGCTTATGTTAATTAAGTATGCTAATTAATAATTAGCACTATGCTAAACCCTGGCGATACAAATACAAAATCGAGAGAGCCCTAGCCCACAAGAAGCTTCCGTTTTAACAGAGGGAGACAACTCATGTTGGCGTGTGGGAGCCACAGGGCTGCTTTTTGATTCACTCTTTCCAGAAACAACAGTGATATTGATTAGATTAGAGAACTGTTGTGATTTAGTGGACAGTGTTCTGGACCTGGGAGACAGGAAGACCTGGGTTCGAATCCCTCCTCAGGCTTTTACTAGCTGGGAGAGTTACTTACTGTCTCCTAGGTATGGCTTCCTCATCTTTAACGCGAGAGCGTTAGACTAGAAGAGGGTCTAAGGTCCCTTCTGACTCTGGATTTCTCATCACAATATGATCTCGATATGATAATCACGATACGCTCCTAAGATTCGGTGGGGAGGGGAGGGATCAGACTTAGCGGCCGGGGTGGGGCCTCGCCTTGTGAAGGGCGGATGGCCAGGCACAAGGTTGGCTGCGATTTGGGGCTGTGCTGGAGCTGCTACCAGCGCAGGAGATTGGATTGCTTCGTCTCCAAAGAGAGAGGTCACCTAGACTTAAGAAACTCGTGGAGAAAATGTTAGTAATGCGTATTAAACTTTAAAGTGTGCCGGTTATTATACATTTACCGGCACCCCCCTAGATTGGAAGCGTGGTTTCATCTGGTAGAGGGCAGATATGGCAGCCCAGGAGGATGGTGTAGTCCCAAGTTAGGAGTTCTACAGCTGGGGCTTAATTTTGGGGAGGGAGTGGTCCTGGCGCCACAAATTCTGGAAATCTGGGAAAGAAGGTGCTGTTACGTGGGGAGAAATGCGGTGGCTGCTGCACGGTAGATGGCAAGGTGACACGAGTGGACGACTCAGGACATGGAGAGGCTGTGGTTGGAGGGGGAGCCTCAGCCAAAAACACTCGGGTTCCAGTCCTGCCTTCGACGCAGCCTAGCTCTCCTGGGCCCATCCAGCCTTGGTGTGGCCCAGACCCGCAGGCTCCCTAGCTGAGGAACCCAGAAGAGATGTTAGGAATCCTTCAGGATTGCTTTGCAGCCTTCATTTGCTTCCCAGAGGCATTTAAAAACACCCCAGCAGCTGAGAAACAGCTTGGTTGGCCCAGATGGAAACCCACAGCCTCATATTCCCTCCAGACAGATTCTCAGTTCTGTTGTTTTCTGAGGAGGGCCTGAGCCAGCAGGGGCTGGTGTCTGGAATGAGAATGATGGGACTCTGGAGCAGTGCTTGGCTAATCCGCCTCTCTCTTGGGTGGGGCCGGGAACCCTCTGCTCATCCTCCGGGAATGTATGTGGGGCTCCTTACCAGGAGTAGTGCCCAGGCCTCAAGCTGTCTGAGGTCCGGGGGCGAGCTGAGTCATCCTCAGGGCTTCCTCCACTCTGACTGAGGTCACCAGGCCTTGAAGGACTGGTGGTGGGTGTAACAGCGGCTGTCAATACTCCTCTAACAATGTCTTTCATTTTCCATGTAAGGAAAGGGGGTAATTGTGAAATTCATGGAAAGTTTCCACATGTTTGAGCAGAAATATGCAATTGTATTGCAAATTTTCCTTTTCTTATTGTAACATGCCTGGCCAGTGGGAGACATACACACTTGAATGTTAAAACATTAACTGAATACTAGAGAGAGAGAGGGAGAGAGAGAGAGAGAGAGAGAGAGAGAGAGAGAGAGAGAGAGAGAGAGAGAGAGAGAGAAAGTTCAAATTCTGGACTTTCCTGGCAAAGCTGTGCACAAGAGCCTGAGAAATGCCTGGCTGGACATTTTTTTTTAATTTCAAGATACCTATTTTATTGTGATTTAGAAGCAGCTAGATGGCTCAGTGGGCCTAGAGTCAGGAGGAGCTGAGTTCAAATCCAGCCTCAGACACTTACTAGCTATGTGACCCTGGACAAGTCATTTAACCTCTGTTTGCCTCAGTTTCTGCAGCTGTAACATGGGGATAATAATAGCAGTTACCCTGAAGGGTTAATCTGAAGATCAAGATAATATTTGTGAATCACTTAGCACAGTGCCTGGCACATAGGAGGCACTTACTAAATGCTTACTTTTCCCTTCCTCCGCTGCCATTGATACAGGTTATTTAAGTATTTAGAAATGCTAAGTATTTAAAAATATGAGCAAGAGGATAGGGAGAGAGATTGGACAGGCAATTTCATTGAATTTGAAACTCCCAGGTGGGGAAATTTCTCTACCAATATGAATCAACACCTTCTCTGCAATTTAGAACCTTAGAGTTGTTTCAATTTGCATTTCTCTAATTATGGATAATTTAGAGCATTTTTTCATATGGCTATTGATAGCTGATTTCTTCTTCTGAAAACTGTCCATCCATATCCTTTGAACATTTATCAGTTGGGGAATGGTTCTTATTCTTGGAAATTTGATTTTTTTATGTTTGATTTTGAAATGAGACCTTTATCAGAGAAACTGATGGCAAAGATTTTCCCCTAGCTTCCTTCTTTTCTTTTAATTGTAGCTGTGATTGTTTTGTTTGTACAAAATCTTTTTAATTTTATGTAATCAGAATTATTCATTTCAGTTTTTATAAACCTCTCTGTCTCTTGTTTGGTCATGAACGTTTTCCTCATCCTTATTACCTGACAGATATTTTTTTCTGTTCTCCACTAATTTACTCATATCATCCTTTCTGTCTAAAATCATGTACTGATTTTGAGCTTGTCTTGGTAGATGGTATGAAATACTGCTCTATGCCTAGTTTCTGTCAGACTGCTTTCCCGTTTTTCCACCAGTTTTTGTCCAGGAATGAGTTCTTGTCCTACTAGCTTTGATCTTTGGGTTTATGAAACACTAGTTCACCGTATTCTTCTGCATATTGTGTTTACTTCTACGTATCAAGTACCTAATCTGTTCCCTTGATCAACCACCCTCTCTACTTTTTATCCAATCCAACCAGAGTGTTTTAATGATTAAAGCTTTTTAATATAGTTTGAAATCTGGTACTGCTGGTTCACGTTCCTTCTCTCTCTCTCTCTCTCTCTCTCTTTTTTCATTTACTTCCTCATATTCTTGACCTTTTGTTGCTCCAAATTATTTTTTTCTAGCTCTACCAAGTAATTATTTAGTAGTGATTATTTAGTAGTATGAAGCTCAATAAATAAATTAATTTAGTTAATATTGTCATTTTTATTATATTGATTTGGCCTCCCCATAAGCAATTAGTATTTCTCCAATTATTTAGATCAGTGATTTGTAATTGTAACTTATATAGTTCCTGTGTATGTCTTGGCAGGTAGACTCCCAAGTATTTCTTACTGTCTGTAGTTATTTGAAATGGAATTTCTCTTTCTGTCTCTTTCTGCTGGGTTTTGTGGGTAACATATAGAAATGCTTCTCCCTTCCACCCTCTCCCAATGCATCCTTCTCCACCCTTCCATTATTCTTTTGAGATTATCTAAACAGAACAGAATCGCATCCAAGCTCTTTGCCTAATCAGACTCCCTCTGAGATCCCTGGTGATGATAAAGTTTTCAGGGATTACATGTTTCATACTCCCATATAGAAATGTAAACAGTTTAAACTTAGTCTCTTACAATTTTTTCACTCATAGCTACCTTTTTGTACTTTTCTTGAGTACTGTGTTTGAATGTCAGATTTTCTACTCAGCTCTGGTCTTTTTATCAGGAATGCTTGAAAGTCCTCTCACTGGCATAGAGGATTCTCAGGTGAGGAAACTCCCTCTATCGATGCAAATGTTTTTCTCCTTGTAGAGCTGTACTTACTTTTGTTGGGTAAGTTATTCTTGGTTGTAATCCTAGATCCTTTGCCTTATGGAATATCATATTCCAAGCCCTCTGTTCAACTGTAACTGAAAAGTCTTGTTTGATCCTGACTGGCTCCTTGGTACTTCAATTTTTTTCTTTCTGGATGCTTGGGGTATTTTCTCCTTACCTGGGAGTTTTCAGTTTGAGGTTTCCTTCAGGAAGTCGATTCTTTTAATTTGTACTTTGCCCTCTGGTTTTAAGAGATTTGAGCAATTTACCTTTATAATTTCTTGAACTAAGATGTTTAAACTTTTTTTTTAATCATAGCTTTCCAGCAGTCCAATTATTCTTAAATTATCCTTTCTTGATGTATTTTCCAGGTCAGTTATTTTTCCTATGTGATATTTCACATTTTTTCAATTTTTTTTCTTTAGTCTTTTGACTTAACTTATTGTTTTTTGATGTTTCATGGAATAATTTGTTTCCACTTGGTCAATTCTGATTTTTAAGGAGCTATTTTCTTTTTTTCTTTTCTTTTTTTTTTCTTTTGGTGAGGCAATCAGGGTTAAGTGACTTGCCCAGAGTCACACAGCTAGTAAGTGTCAAGTGTTTGGTCTGAGGCCAGATTTGAACTCAGGTCCTCCTGACTCCAAGGCCAGAGCTCTATCCACTGCACCACCTAGCTGACCCAGGAGCTGTTTTCTTCTGTAAGCTTTTGTACCTCATTTGCCAAGCTGTTAATACTTGTTGGCGTAGCTTCTAGGAATTCTTGTTGGGCTTGTGTCCAATCTGTACTTTTCTTTGAGTCTTTGCTTATAGATGTTTTAAAGTCATTATCTTCTTTTGTGTTTGTATCTTGAGCTTCCCTGTTGCCACAGTAGCTCTTTATG